AAGATTTGGGAGGGGAAACAAGTGGCTTGAAAAGAAGCACACCTCATCAAGATACCAAACAAAGGAGATCTGAGCAAATATGAGAACTACAGAGGCATCGCACTACCGTCTGTGCCGGGAAAATTCTTCGACAGAGTGTTGCTAAACTGGAAGAAAGACTCAGGAGACGCCCGGTTTTGAGATCAACAATCTGGATTCTTAAGAATTGGTCGTGCACAGACTAAATTGTGACACAACTGATCATCGCTGAACAATCAGTTGAGTGGAACTCGTCACTATTCATCGACTTCACTGACTATGAGAAGGCGTTAGACAATGTGAACAGGAAAGCACTAAGGTGTACCTGAAAAAATCGGCAACATCATCCTGAACTCATACGACGGGCTACAGTGCAAAGTGGTGCGTGGAGGACAGCTTGCCAACTCATTCCAAATAAGCATCGGAGTCAGACAAGGCTGCTCACTCTCATCCTTCGTTTTTCTTCTAGTGGTTGATGAATTATGAAGACCTCCATATGTGGAGGGAAACTCGGAACACAATGGATAGATTGGATTCAGCCAGACGATTTGAACTTCACAAATGACCTTGCTCTCTTATCCGATACGCATAAACAAGTGTGGGGGGAGGCAGTCAGTGTAGCAGCAGCCTCTGCATCAGAAAACCTCTACATACAGGAGAAAAATAAGATCCTCAAATACAACACGGGGAACACCAATTCAATCACACATGATGGAGCAACTCTGGAAGAGTTGGAAACATTCACATACCTGCGAAGCGTCATCAATGAACGAAGAGGAGCAGATGCAGATATAAATGTAAGGACTGGCAAAGCGAGGGAGGCATTCTAACAGTTGAAGAACATATTGAACTCAAAACAACCGTTAGCTAATATCAAAGTCACAATCTTCAATACGAACGTCATGACAGTTAGTTCTACTGTATGGGGCTAAAACTTGAAGAACTAACACAACCATCTTGAAAAAAGGACAATTATTTATTTACAATTGTCTACACAAGATACTAAATGTCCGTTGGTCGGATACCTCTACTTACTGTGTGAGAAAACAAACCAGCCTTAAGCTAAGAAGAAAATTAGTAGGAGATTATTGAAGTGAGTAAAGCATACATTACACAAATCATCATGCTGCATTATGAGACAATATCTAACTCGAAATCCTGAAGGTAAGCTGAAAAGTGGAAGGTCAGGGCACACACTACGTTAGGAATTGGAAGCAGGCATGATAAGTGTGAGCAGCCCCTCACGCGACTGGGAAGGTTTTCTTAGGACAGACGTGGATTGAGAATACAGGTGGGTGGCCTGTGCTCCTCCAGGAAAGAGTAACAGGCGTTAGTATGTGAGCAGTTATAGAACAAACACAATTTCGTTGGATACAAATTTATAAGATAAGTTTGGTAGGGTAAACAAAAGGGCCACTATTTCATGAGTCATTCCATGGAGCGAGACAGAAAAATATACGGTGTTTTTCTTGATCCCGACAATGTTCGGTAGACTGGCAGGTCACCATGATATGTGATCAGCGTGGATGATCGAGGTTTAGTCAGGTTGGTCGACAATGATGCGACTCATTTAACATCGAAGTGACACTTTGAAGTTAATACTTACCCTGCTATCGTGATGACCAGGTGGATCTGCTTCTTCGGTGACTAAAACAAACAGTCTCAATAGGCAAAACATGTTAATACTAACAGGCTTCAGAAGTACAAGACGAAATCACTGTTAAATGCGCCTGTCCATGGCGTTCAGTCGAGTAATGAGAATTGATTGTCCTTGGTTTTGAAAAAGACTAGTAAGCTGTTCGACATATAGTGAGCTAAATTGTTTTGTTACGACTAAATGACATTCCACTGACCCTACATGTTGCCTCGGGTAGATACGGTTCAACTTCATGGACTATTTGGCTATGCATCAGAGAAATTTCACCAATATTACTACTCTGTTTTAAGCCAATGTTAAGACATAGCCAAAATCTCTCTTATATAACCTTTCTAAAAAGTCTGTGGAACAACTAATTCGAAAATGTGAAGTCGGCAACTCGTTAGAGAAACAGTCAGATACCGTCGCGCTTCGACTGGGTATTTACAAACGAAGAATTCCTAGTTGAAAACCTCTCAATCCTGGCACCCCTGGGGAAAAGCGATCACGTCGTGATAGCCTTCAATTTTGTTGGCAAAACTGAGCTAAGATATTCCACCAACAACATGCACTGGAGTTTCAAACGGTTGAATGTGTCAGCTTTATAGGACTATTAACAACAGGTGGATTGGGATGTTCACCCACAACCTGATGTGGATGCTCACTGGGATTACTTACTGCACACGCTCTTATGTGCAATAAAGCATTCAGTTCCTCAAACAATCCTCAATAGCTACAAGCAACCTACAATCATCAAGAACGGCACTCTCCGTTCGCTAAGCCGCAAAAAGCACTGTTGGGCAGGATACAAACAAACTGACAACAACGGCGCGTACAGGCAATACAAACATATAAGGAACATATGCACGAAGGCTCTAAGAAAAGACAGACTTCAGTACCAGACAAAGCTTATGGGTAAATTTGTCTTTAATCCGAAAAGCTTATTTCGCTGTGCAGCCTCTCTTCGACAAGCAAAAACTGGAGTTTACCAACTGCTAGGTCCTATTGGCCCGACCAATAACGACGACGACGCCGCTAACCTTTTGGCTGAACAATACTCTCGGACATTTCAACCGATCCACATCAACTATACTGATAACAGCTTCATCTGCAACTCCAAATGACTTTCCAAAGTGAATCTGAGCGCTGACTTGGTGCTCCGGAAACTGCAGCACTTAAGAATTGACACTTCTCCTGGCCCAGATATGGTTCATTCTGCTATGCTGAAGGAGACAGCTTCAATCCTGGCAACAACGATTAGCGTGATGTTCTCACACTCGCTGAGCCGAGGCAAACTTCCGGAAACTTGGAAGCTGGCTCACATCACACCAATTTTCAAAGGAGGTCGACGCAGCGAACACTCAAGTTACGACCGGTGGCTCTTCCCTCTATGCCTTCAAAAATCATGGAGTCCCTGATATGTGATAGTATACACGACAATTTACTATCCTTAAATTTCTTCTCACCAAACAGCATGATTTCAGGAAGGGTCATTCTTGTATAACCAACCTGTTGACTGCGGTGGACAGATGGACAAGCATTCTTGATCGCAAGGGGAAGGTTGATATCACTTACCTTGATTTCTCAAAAGCTTTTGATAGGGTCAACCATACATGTCTTATCAATAAGCTCAAACGATTGAGTATCAAATAACCTCTAATTGACTGGTTCAATTCATATCTAAAAAGTAGACAGTCCAAGGTCGTGGTTAACTTCAATTTATCTCAGGCCATGGAATGTCCTAGTGGGGTCCCCCAGGGCTCAGTAATGGGACCCCTTCCCTTCTTGATTTATGTAAATGATCTTCCACAATAGGTGTCGTCAGACTCATTGCCTTTTGCTGATGATGTGAAACTTTGGAGAGAGATATGCAACCAAGAGGATATATAGGCACTTCAGGAGAATCTGACTCGACTTCAAAGTTGTACAGACGATAACGGACTTCTCTTTAACACTTCAAAGTGTAAAGTAGTCTATCTGAGACATGTTGCAGACTACAGTTACAACTTAAGAAACTCCTCCCTAGTAGTATCTCGAGTCGAAAAAGATTTAGGAGTCCCGGTGCCCTACGAATGAAGTCGTAAGCTAACTGTGACAAGAATGCCTTCCGAGCAAACCTTGCATTGGTATTATTGAAGCTCATTCTTATCCAGTTTGACGGAAGAACTTCCCACATAATCTTCAGCAGTTTTATTCGTCCCCATTTAGAGTACAGAAACATGGTATTTCCTCCCTCATTCCAAAAGGATAAGGACACTCTGGAGCGTATCCAAAGGCGAGCCACGAAATCAGTTCGGGACTCAAATTTAAACCTTATAAAGAGCGCCTCCAATCACTCAACCATTACCCATAGGAGTATAGGCGTCTTAGATGTGACCTAATGGCTTACAGTATTGTTAACGCTTCTGGACATTTTCTTAAACACCTACCTAAGCTTAGTTCCAGTACAAATCCAAGTGGTAACATCCAGAAACTGGAGATACAACATAGCAGAACGGACTGTAGACACGAATTCTACTCCCTAAGAGTTGTCAAATGCTGGAGTTCGCTGCCGACTGAACTAGTCCAAGCGACGTCCCAGGAGTCCTTCAAGAGGAAACTTGACCTATTCTTAAGGACCGTAGATCACCAACGTAGATGCTCTATGTCGAAATGACTGTAGACCTACTCGAATTAGACGGGAATGGTGTGACACAACAGCTAACGTCGAAGTCACACTTCGTGGTCAGAACCTTATGTGGACTACCCCATTGACGTATCAAGGTGCTATAGATGCTTTGAAGACTGTACAACACAGAGGACGTTATTACAGAAACATATCAGTTAAAGTAGATACAATCGAAAGTAAGACCACTGCCGCATGAGCCAGTCCATCGCGTACGATTAACTGATGCGCATTGGTTGTCCTTGAACTTGGTAAGGATTGATGATCTGTCCGATATTCAATGACCTAACTGCCGGATGATTTGGCAAGGGCTCAGTGACATTTCGCTGGCCCTACAGAACTAAGGATAACATCTTATTATGATTTACCAATTTCTTTTTTTCCCCTATTATCGTTAATATACCTAGGTTCCTGCCTGAAGGTATTAGTGATCCCCTGCTACTATACACGGAAGCCCGTTAAGCGAAAGCTTCTTCTATTCCGTCCACAATCATTTGAACTCTTCGAACCATTTTAATTATGTCCAGCAGAATCTAAAAGTTTTCTTCAACCGAGTAGTCATATCAAACTTACCAACGCCAAAGACCTGGGAGAGGTTTTTAAATACAAAACGCTGAAGCTAAAGAGACAGTATATCACAAAGGTATTGGAAATCGTATAATTCATATTAATTCTCGCGCGCTCAATCCACGAGCAACTACCTTGGATCTGATTGGCTTCCTCAAACTTACCTGAAGGACGGTAATGCATCATTTATGTTGGTTTTCTTTTTTGTTGGGATCGTGAGAGTTTGGTAGTCTTGAGTATTCAGGTTCTCATGTGAAAGTTCAGGAACTTTCCTAGTTAGGACTAGGAATTAACCCCATGCTTTGAAAAACACCTATTTTGCACTACATGACGGATTATAAGGCAAATTACCTAGATCTTATTGTTTATTACATAGTTTAGTATGACGTCCTTTACTTTCAGATATTTTTATGAAGACAGTTACATATACAGTATCGGTATGCATAAAAGACTTTAATGTCCTTTAATTTTGAACAGAAATAAGTTTGTGACGTCACTAGTCTTCAGTAATAAGGATATATCCTTTTTACTATAGTAAAAACAAACTAGTGAGAACAAATCATGATTAAGATTTATTTTTCAATTCATTTCAACTGATGTCAGACATTTAGTAAATCCCACAGTTGTTTATTGGTTGCTAAAGTGAGGATAAAACATTTAGACATACTTCCATTGTCATTTATATTTATTCAGATGTGCTTTGTTGATCGAATCCCGGATGGCTGTTAGTCTTCCAATCATGTTTTCGTATGCATATAATCTCAAGAATTGTGCACATTGGTGATGAATTTATAATTGGTGGCTGATCGACTCTTGCTTATATGAGCGAATAAGTTACAGACATGTCCTAGTCTCCCTATTTTGGAAAAATATTGAGAAATCCCCAACATTGTGGGGGACTTCCTCATATCTGGGGAAATTTCGGGGTCTTTGTGCAATTTACCCAAAATTTTCTATAGCGACTTCCTCGAAATCGGGAGATTAGGTTGCGCTCATGTTACCTTGTGACTTTACTTACGGGTGGTACATATTTATCAGACACATTACGCGGGAGCATTTACATACTGCTAATGCTTGTTAAAAAATTATGATAGCCGATTATATTCGAAGTTGACTAGCTATTTCGATCAATTAAACTAGTTAGTTAGGTGTGAATACTAATCGATATCAATATAAAGCAGCGAATGTTTGCAGTAACTGACAAACCTATGCGATGATAGGAGTGAGTATAGAATGCAACCATAAAGATAATAACAGGTTGCGTTACTCAAAGTCTTACTCGCCAGTGTAGGTTGTCAACGTCGGCGATATGTGTCGATGATCTGGGGCTTACTCGGCCTGAACGAGAATGTCGTGGCTTCCCAGCTTACCTCAAAATCACATCTCGCGGTTTTTAGCTAACATGGATTACCCTTCAGTCGTATCCAGGTACTGTTGTTGATGACTGTACAACTAAAACAACGTCATGACAGGAATGTATTAGTAAGAATAGATACAAGAACAGAGTATGACCATTGCAGTTAATTGATGCACGTTGGCTGTCTTTGATATTGACGATGGTCAGCAAGCTGTTTGATATTCAGTGACTCGACTGCCAGATGACTTATATAAAGCCCGGTCATATTTCAATGGCCCTACATGAATTCCAAAGTCCCGTATGTTTGTGTGTAAAAAGTTGCTCCAGACGGGCTCAATCGTTCTTAGACTTCCAAACTATCCTATGGTACCAAGTTGTTCTGAATTAGTTGCGGGGGAGGGGACAGACAATATCAGATCCTAAATAATTGAGTGTCATGTACATTATAAATAATCCAGTTCTTAATATGCGGTAGGGTAATATGAAAAAGTTTAACTTGTGCAGCCATCCAGATAATCCGAGTGTCTCCCAAATTGTCTAAGCAGAAGTCCTCTGAACTGTTTTCAGACGAGTCAGATTTTAACTTTTTTATTTCGCTCCTTCTCCTCAAACCGTGTTCGCTATGTTAAGTTTTGGTATCATTAATACTGATATTATGTCAAATTATTTGTTATTTACCTTGCTAATTTCATCTTTGCTAAAGTGATGCAGCAGTTCAGGTCAATGTATATTTATTCGTAGTCATACATTGATTATGACTCTCTAGGCTGTTTCATTCTTATGCAAATACGTACAAACCGCACGTAATTGATCAGGGATCATTCAGTGTAAATTTCTGTCCTACAGGACTCTAATAGCTACCCGAATAGCTCGTTTTTTTATGACATGGGGTGATGTCAGCTCAAATTATGAATAGCATCGGTACCCTCAATAATTCAAATACGTCTTGCCAGCGAGTAACAACTAGCACAAAATCCAAGTTTAGGACTTCCTGCTAATTACCTCGAATCACCTAATAATAGCTTGTAACCGTCTGCTTTTTCTTAGTGCACGTTTACATTGTTCAACTTCCTACAGAAATGGTAAAATCATATAGTTGATTTTAGTTACACGAAATATTTGGTTAAATCAAACTTTTTATTTCATGTTTCCTGAGCTTCAGCTAAGCAGACTTTAGTGATATTAGTGTTACAACATGGTTTACGAGTTTATTTTAAACTTCTAATTTAGATGGATATTGCTGAAATCCTACTCTCACAATTTCCTAATCCTCAACATCCTTATGTTGCTAAAAATGGTGCCTGTACATGGAAAGCCTGCCAAAAGTGGGATCTGCATTATCTGTCAGGGAGAATAAAAAGTAACTTGAAGTTTCGTCTGGCTAAAAAAGAAAGTATCGAAGTACAGTGGGAGACATCTTGTCCGTCTGTTAATGCAACATTAGCAGAATTTAATGAATGGATAAATGGAGTAGACAATATGAGTAATCCTTTTTCTAAGTACCCTAAAGAATCTTGGTGGGCTTATGCGGATTACATATATATGAATCAGTCACCTGATTTTCAAGGTTTAGTCGAAGATTTATCGTTCCAAGAATTGTTCCCGTTTCTAAAAAGTAATATCAGTCCAACATTTTGGCTTGGATCGTCTAAAGCTCATACCATTTGTCATCGAGATACCTACGGAGTTAATCTGGTAGTACAAATCAAAGGGTCCAAACGCTGGATATTATTTCCACCTTCGGATAGCCCACATATGTATGAAACTCGATTACCTTTAGAAGAATCTACTGTTTTTAGCAAAGTTAATTTCACATTACCTAACTGCAAAAAACATCCTCTCATATTAAAAACAACTCCTTATCCTGTAACACTTTATCCAGGAGATATTCTTTTTGTCCCAAGAAATTGGTGGCATTTTGTTGAATCATCATCTGAATATGATTTTACTTGTTCAGTAAACTTATGGATTGACCAACCTTCACTTGATAATAAAGCACGCCTTAGAGAATGTCTCACACAATTAGTCGGCTTCTCTTTGTTATCTAATTATGATCGTAGTGATCATAAAGTTTTATTACATCCATCTGAACAAGCAACATATGAAAATGAGTTTTGGTTTAAACAACTATTGGATTATCTATATCTACTTTTTCATCAAAATCCAAATGAATTGTCTTCCAATGGAGAAAAGAATCTAGAAGAACCTTCAAAAAAAGCTAGGTTTTCTAGTATCATCAATTGGACACCCTTAACTTCAGAAAAGCTAGACAGTTTATTTAGTATTTCAGAAGAAAATTCCACATCCGATGTTGTTAATACTCTTAACTTCGAACAGATTGTAGATGCATTTATGAAACCTGATGTTATTGAATTAGTTGCAAAATACCTTGAAAAAGATGTTGTAAATAAAGATTTGTAAATAGAAGCATTTGCTTAGTTCCTTTCTTTTGTGCTATACCTTTTATTATATACTGTTTGTTCATTTCTCATTTATTTTAGGTATATAGTCAGATAACTACTTCATTGTTGTGCAAATGCAAGCATGTCCATTAAATTCCAAAGATTTGTTAAAATTACGATGTCGATTTCGTACTGGACAGTATACTTTGAGTGATTTAACTTCTGATTCAACCATCAATGAACTACTTCAAACAATTACCTCACTTGTAGGTGTTACACAATCTCGTATATCACTTTATTATGGTTATCCTCCCCAAAAGTTGGATTGTAGCATTTCAAGTCTTAGTAAACATCTCTGGGAGGTTAGTCGTATAACCTTTTAAAAAAGTTCATCTATACTAGAGGTGCTTTGGTACATTATATATATATATATATCACTCGTTGATTACCTTTGCCTTAGGAGAATAATTACTTCTGAGGCACCTGAAAAGCAGACTGGGTTAGAGGTGGTCTTGAGGCATGATCAAAGACCTAGAGACAACTATTTGAGGTTAGCCACATATAAATTTTTTATGGATAGTCTTTATTACACTCCATTTGCACTTTACAAGTCTTATCTTCATCGATAATCTGTGGTGAAAGATAATGTGTTTTATTTTTGAAATCAACCTTTCTAACACCTCTCTCCACTTACATGTAGTGTGTATACTTTCCTCTCGTGGCATTTGTGTCTCTTATACGTTCGTACACTAAGCTGCTATTTCGCAACTCGAACTTAGATAAAGTTAATTGGAGTTTTATCCTCTTCTCCCTTGTCCGCTAACTAAAGTAAGAAGTCTAATTTTATAGCTCTCTTTATTAAGATTTTGCGTAATAAAATAGCATTATTCATTTATTTATTTAAACACATAAACATTGGTACAAGAAGGCAACAAAAAGATATGCTCCACATAAATCATTCGATTTATGTGAGAGCCAGAATACTGCACGGGTACTCAAACCGAAGCAGGTGGTTTTCTTAGGGGGTCAAACTCGGAACCTTCGACCTAAAAGTGTGATCCACAAGGCAATGGAGCAACATCAGGAGATGCAGTCTCATGGTAGCCGGTGACCAACAATAGGTACATACGCCATTTGTTCCTCCAGGATCCTGGAGCCCATGTATACCACTGGTTTGGAATGTGTTTTTTAACTCCTCTAGGTGGAGTCTACGTGTCGACCAACCCAGTCAAAGCTCCGGACATTTTCTTTTCGTCCCCTGAATTTCTTAAACAACACACGTGGTGCGAGAAGGGAGTGAGTAAGACTTCGCTGGTAGTGGTTGTATTCACGTGACCATATGAGAGCATTTAGAGAGTGAGACCTGACTCTCCCCACTCTTAGCCGTACCAGGGTATTTGGGGGCAATAAAAGGGCATTCTTATACACAAGTATCGGCATATAATAAAACCTCATAAGCAATCGGAGGAAATTAGTTTGTAGGTTTTTCAGTCTCGTATCCCCAAGTAAGAATGAAAATATTCATATACAACAGTACCCATTTTTCAGTATCTCAATGTCATTTTTTGTAAAAAAGAAACTACTTTTTAATGAAATGTAACTATATGATGAAATTATTCAGGATAGTCTTTAGTAAGGAAAGTAAACAAGTCTCAAACCAGTGTCTTCAATGTTACTTCCCTTTTTGGTCTGACTTTTATGGTTTATACTCTTGATTATCAGTCATTGTTTTGACTGTTTGGAATCGTCATTGCCCCTTCACATCCACGTATATATCACGGTAATCCATATATCTGTGCGAAATTTTCGATACACTTAATGCACTGTAATCTAGTCTATTAATAAAAATCGTCTTATTTTTAAAAATGATATATGAATCTGCAGATCCCTCTTCGTTCGGGTGACATGCTTACTGTTGATGTAACGGAAGAAAAACCAACAAATGTCAACTCACAAACTGTAAATCATCAACCTCATGAACATGAAATAGTCACTAATAAACAATCTGAATCACATATTGTCCGATTATCTGCACCATCTGATAATTCTTGTCTATTTACAAGTGTTCTTTTCTGTATGAATAATGAAGACAATCATTTAAAAATTGGTGCAGAGGTTGTAACAAATATTGCTGAAGTCAGTAATTTAAGAGAATTAATTTCCGGTATTGTGTTAAGCGATCCAGTCAAGTATTCTGAAGCATTCCTCGGGATGTCAAATGAACAATATTCACTTCAAATTAGACAAGTAAGCAAATGATGATGTTTGTTTTGTGAGTGCTTTGCTTATTCCCTTTTTTTGTCTTTTATACGAGTTGTGGAGCGGTGACATGCTGAATAAATCACTTAGTTTTGAACTAGTAGGCTGAAAGCCCTAGTCGTATCCCGCCTAACGTAGTATGGGGAGAGCTAGGTAGTATCGCTAGCTCCCTCACCTCCTCGTGCGATGTTGGCTGGTATAAGAGTACTGTAGAAAAAAGCTAGGGTGACCAAACCTAAACGTAGCATGAGTCTACAAAGTCATTGATAATCGGAATGAACCATGTAGGTAGGTTCAAACTGCGTAGTTGAGCCCACACCATTATCGTAACGAATGATTAAGGACTTTGAGTAATGTGACTCGAAATTGTTCACTATGGTACAGGTGCATTTACTTTTTATTTTCTCTTAGATATGAGTAACTGAAAAACCGCTGACACAGTTAAAGTTTGACTCAAAGGTGTTTTACATACGCTTGTCCTTGTTAAATGAATTAAATTACATTTAATAATTGTATTAACTAATAACCATTGTGATAAAAGAAAAGGTGCATCGTAATTTGTATATATTTGTAACAAGAAGGGGAGTTTTCTTTGAACCTGAGTTTTATACTATGCAGTCATATACAAGTTGAATGAATGACGCTGAATTATCTGATTATCGTCACCGTCAATATTACTTTGAAATGTAATTTTAAAATGCTTCTGGGTACTTGTATTCGTATTCACTCTTTGTATTGCAAAAAATATTTAATGCATAAGGAAGTTAGTCGTGGTTTTAGTATCGTGGAGAAGATAAGTCTACGTATAAAAAAGTCCATAATACGTTTACTAAAAAATGGGACACCTTTGATACTGTTTAGAAGTTGTTTGATCTTAGAAGTTAGGGACATACATTAGGTTGATAAGAGGAATTCTACCGTATTTTTGTGAAATCTAGTCTCTTCAAGTTTCAAACGTTCATTCATCATTAACTTTAAGAAGATTTCTGAGGTATGACGACAACACTTTGTAATCAATACTATGGTCTTTCAAGATGTATTCTTAGTCATAGTGGGAATGGACGTAAAAAGCAATATCAAAGTGTTGATCACTTCATTTATATAATATATATATTAAAAATAGTTACCCTATTTCTTCTTGTGAACTATACCTTAATTGATCATGTGATAGTCGTTTCTATATTATGTAAGTACCATCATATGACATCGTTCCACTTATGCCATATGTTAGCTACACATTATACTACTAGCATCTTTACCCTCCTTTCTTAAGATCACTATTCACCTGAAAATCTTATATTCCTTATATAGTAGTTCAATCGATTTTTGTTTATTAATGAGTTTAGTAACAATATATGGTGATATTTCTATTTGTTGTTATATTTTAAGTAACCTTAAGTTAGTTTGTGATTTTGTTAATCCATACTTAAATAACTGGCTCTCTGTTTTTTGCACGGTATACGTTAATAAACAATATGTTATTTATTTATTTGAACACATAGATATTGGTATAGGGGGGCACTAGATACATATGCGAGAAGGCAGTGAGTAGAACTTCCTTGGCAGAGGCTATATACGCGTGGCCATATGAGAGCATTAAGAGAGGTAGAGTTGACTCTCCCCACTCCCAGCCGTATCAGGGCAATTTGGGGCATTATTATAGTTTAACTGTTAGCTTATTTGCATCTGTTCAATCATTTTTCGACTCTATTTAATGGCAGTAGGATGTAGATATTTTCTGACTGACTAAACAAAATAATCAGAGTGTACTGGATAATTTCTACTATGAATTGTTGAGTGTTTGATCTGTGTGTTTTTAATTCAAAATACTAATGATTCTTAAATTTTCTATGCTGTGATATATTGAAGATGATAGGATACTTCATGTGTATACCTAACTAAGGAGATAAAAACCCAGCTAGTTGATGGTCCAACTGTCGATGTTGACGCTCGCAAATCTGTTCAGTAGTAGTTGTTTTAGGACAAAGTCAAAGATAAAAGTATAGTCTAGAACTTCGCATCGAACATAGTTCTTACCCTTCCCCAAGCTGAACACTATCATAATACATAACAATAACAGCATATAAGGTACCTCTTTTGTGTTTATAGGCAAACTAATGTAGATCCATATGTACTTTTAGCCCAGGTTGAATTGGGAGTAGCATTAGTTTTTCCATTGTTTTGAGAAAAGGTGAAAAGGTTATTGCTATGGATCTAAATTGTACATCCTTATCAGTAGATACTTTCTTAGGTATTGGGATTATCTTAATCGTTCTCTACATTTTTGGTATAAGATTATTTGAGAAGGATTCGTTAAAGATGCTCGTGAATGGAGGACAAAACGTCACATTTCTTAAAACGGAGGTTTTGGATTTCTTCAGGTCCCGAACAATTGGACGAGTTAAGTGACTCGGGATCTTTTTGGACATCAGTTCCAGTGAAAATTGGGAGTCAGTTATTCAAAAACGTAGAACTTCGTACGTACGTATATCAGTTCGATTCGCCATACCACATTACCACGCAGATACAATTGTCGATTCAAATCCCATAGTGGTACAGGTAGTAAAAGTATAAGTAGTAATCGGAAAGATTAGGGTTTTAAGATGTTATTCTAGGAGTATAATCCAGTGAAATAAATTTGGAAAGAGAAAAAATGGGACAAGAAGAATTCAGAAGATTAGAACATAGATGCACCTGCGCCATTGCAAACGATTTTGAGCCATGTAATTCAAGGTCTCTAACCATCGGTTGCTACCGTCTAACGGATCCCAACCAGGTAGTCTACACCTACCAACATGGTTCAGTCCACCTATCAGTGACTTCATGAATTTGTGCCATGTTTTGGCCGCTCCTGTCTTTCTTCCGACCTACTTCTACACAATAAAACATTGCACGTCGGGGTAGTCGGTGGTTGGGCATACGTAATAGATGTCCCAGCCATCTCAATTGATGATGTTTCACTACTTCATCAATTGATTTCCCATCCTTACCTAGTACTCATTTCCCAACAACTGCATTACTTACTCGGTGGTCCCAGGATATACGAGCAATATTTCGAAGACACCCATGATCAAATACTAGTAACCCACGGATATCCTCTACTCTTACCAGCCATGTTTCACTGCCATAAAGTAGGACGGAACGAACTGCTGCACAGTAAACACGTCCTTTGGTTGGTTGACGGATAATCTCGCCTACGTCATAAATGACGCAAGTTCGCAAGAGCTAGCCGAGCCCTCTGCATCCGCGCCGAGATTTCGCCAAATACCAGACCACAAGGGCTGATGAGACTTCCAAGATAAGTGAAGTGGTCGACACGCTCAACTACACACCTGTTCTTCAAACCTTTATTATTATTTATTTAAACACATAAACATTGGTACAAGGAGGCACCAAATACATATGCGCCACATAAATCATTCGATTTGTGTGAGGGCTGTAATACTGCCCGGATGCCCAGACCGAAGCAGGTGATTTTCTTAGGGGGCCACACCCCATTCTTCAAACCTTTGTATATAAGAAGCATGGTATCACATGGTTCATATACAAAAGACTTATTTAGGTCACAAGCATTCATTAACTAAGCAATGCTAACTTTATTTATCTAGTAATTAATGGTGATTATAAATCATTTATTTATGCGTTACATAATTCTAATCACTGCCTGTATAAATGCACTCTAAAGGCTTTGGTTACGAATAAGTTCGAAGAATTGCTAGGATTGGCTAAACGATATATAAAGTAATCATATATTAATGGTGTGATTCGTCCCAGTTAGCTTTAGGATTATGATCGTAGTTCGGTGGACAGACTACTTCGCTTTGGGTCCATTGGTATATTGACGTAATAATGAAACTAACCTATCAAGAGAGGGTAGTTAAAATGACAACATAGTTGTGTGTACATACCGGTTTTTACTAGTCAGGGAATCTTATAGCATATCGGCTCATTATGTGTAGATCCATGTACATAGCTTCTGGTTACATTCTAAGCGTGAGAATTTGTGACAAATCCCGGCCTCTCAAACCAAAGTAGGCAGAGTGGGGTTCGAACCCCAGACATATTGTCTGAAAGTTGGACAGCTTAACCACTGAGCCACTGTTCCACTATAATGGCGATAAGTACTGTATTCAATGCTTGCTATCACATTCAGAAAGTGAGTTCTAGATAGAAAATAATACACACCGAGTCGTCGGTCTGATACTTTATCTTCCACTACTAAATCTATAATCACAAAGATTGTTAAGGGATTAAATACAGGTACATACCTTATTATAATCGTGAAAAAACAAAAAACTTCAGGGCAAAGAAAAGTAAGTGATAATTTTAACAGTTGAATTCATGAGTCGATCTAAGCTAAACTGCCATGGAAAACCTGGAAGCACTAGATGGCCGTTTTGTCCCAGTATGGAACTCAGTAGTACGCATCCATGATCCCGCATGCGGGACTGAAACCCAGGACCTTGGTCTCGCACTTGAACTCTTTACCTTCCCATACTGATAAATGCTAATTATTTAGTTGGATAGATTGTGTCAATTAACTCAATGTGCAAATGGTACTCATCATGGATTGATATGAATCACTATCTCTCAGTTTTAAATTCTACAAGAATCATACCTTAGAACCATTGAAATCTTTCAGTCATCATTCTCCTTTTAAGTCAGTCAGTCAGCCACTACGTAGGACCAGATATATGTACATCGGTCGAAGTTGCCATACATTGTTAGCACAGCAAAACGAACACCAAATTCATAGAAGTAGTTAGTTCAATGGTGTTAATATATAAAAGAACGATTGCATATGACGATATAGTACAGGAAGAAAGAATTAGTTTGTAGAAAGAACGATATGAAGCAATTTTAGTCTCACGGTTCAAGGGAAGACAGAGATTGTATACACCTATACCATTGTGATTGAATCTGAACCATATCACCCACAGTCTCCAATCATTGGTTACGATAGTCATGCGGACCCCAACCAAGTAACCTGTATCTACCAACATGGTTCAGACTATAAGTTAGTGACTTCAAGCACTGATGCCACGTTTTGATTTGGCCACCCCTAACTTTCCTCCAGCTATCTGCAAAACTAGTCAGCATTGCGCGTCGTGGTAGTCGATTCTCACGCATACGTAATCACCACAGAGTCTCAGAATTGTAAACATTTATTATATTTTCATCTTTAAATAATACAATTCATTCACCTAATAGTGATCGCAGTACTCTTCTCTTCTCTTTCTCTCGTTATTTCTCTTGTCATTTCAGTCAGATAAATGGGGTGGAGGTATTGAAGTATCAATTTTATCACAATTATATAAAATTGAAATATGTATTGTAGATATTGAATCATGTCGAATTGATCGTTTTGGTGAAGATCAAAATTATCCTAAAAGAATTTTATTAATTTATGATGGTATACATTATGATCCATTAGCACAAGAATGTCCAAATCGTAATTGTTTAATAACTGTATTTTCATCAAATAATGATTCAGTATGTGTGTGTGTGTTACATTTTATTCTAATCAATATATTCATATTATTATTATTGTTATTTTAACACATAGATATAGGTACAAGGAGGCACCAAATACATATGCGCCACACAAATCGCATTCGATATGTGTGAGGACTGTGATACTGCCCGGGTGCCTAAACCGAAGCAGGTGGTTTTCTAAGAGGGCCACACCCCGAGCCTTCGACCTGAAGGTCTGATCCACTAGGCAGTGGGGCATCGTAAGGAGATGTGGTCCCATGGAAACCGGTGACCAACAATAGGTTCATACACCATTTGTTCCTTCAGGATACTGGGACCCATGTGCACCATTGATCTGAAATCCGGTTAAAGCGCCGGACATTCGCTTTTCGTCCTCTCATTTTCGTAAACAACACTCCCGCCACGAGAAGGCAGTGAGTAGGACTTCGCTGGCAGAGGCTATATACGCGTGGCCATGTGAGAGCATTTCGAGAGAGAGAGCGGACTCTCCCCACTCTCGGCATATGTGTATTCTCTTTTTGTATAAATATCTTCCTGTAATTATGACAAACTCTTTCATCAGTCCTTTAGTCTAATCCATAGAAAGTGAATTAGTCAAATATGTTAATTGATCATTTTCACCCTTTCGTTTTGGAAATCTTTTTGAGCTGACATACTCTCAGTGTCAATACAAAAAAACATCCATTTGGATTATGTTAGCTTTTATTGTCTATGACACAGTAGACATCATCGTTTACCTGTTAGAAACCAAGTATATTACACCGCAATTTATCCTGTACTATTTTATGAGATTAAAGCATGACTTCTAAAGACAGTAGATATATGGGCTTGTAAATTGCTAATGTTCTGTTACAATAGTCTCTAGAGTATTACTTCTGTATAATAGAACTAGTAAATGATTAATGTTGAAGTTTACTTATTATTTATTTATTTAAACACATAAACATAGGTACAAGAATGCACTAAATAGATATGTGCCACACAAACCGAGTGACTTGTGTGAGGGCTCCCAAACAGAAGCGGGTGGTTTTCTTAGGAGGCCACACTCCGAGCCTTTGACCTAAAGGTCTAACCCACAATGCAGTGGAGCAACGTCAGAAGATGTAGCCCCATGGTAGCTGGTGATCAATTTGGTGATCATTTGTTCCCTCAAGATCCTGGAGCTCATGTATACCGCTGGTTTGGAATGAGTGTTTTCCAACTCCCCTATGTGGACTCTCTGTGTTCATCAACGCGGTTGAAGCTCCGGACATTCACTTTTCGTCCTCTGAATTTCGTAAACAACACCGGTGGTACGAGTGGGCTGTGAGTAGGACTTCCCTGACTGTTTGTATGCACGTGGCCATGTGGGAGCATTTAGAGAGGGAGAGTTGACTCTTCTCACTCTCAACCGTAGCAGAGCATTTGGGGGCTATGTTGAAGTTACGTAGGAATGATTAATTCATTTATAATTTCATAAAATGTTATCTTCTCAGATAGTTCAAATAAATCTTGCACGTTTTCATCCACTAACCTACCTTATCAATGAAATTTAATTCATAATTATGTAACTCATTATCGAGTACAGGTATTTGTAGTTAGCTTCGATTCATAATGTTTGGGAATGTTGATTGGTGACATCTATCACCGTTACCCAAAGTGAAATAAAGATGGTAGTACAAGCAGGGTTCAAATTAGTGATTAAATATTAGAAATATTCCCTACCACTAAACCATTACTTAACAACATATCGATCTAATCACAATGTTGACCATTAGTCACATGTGACCCAATTTGGCGTTAAACTTTGTTAATGTTAGCTGAAAGGGAAGATAATCGATAAGTGATATGACAACATGAATCACGCTTGATAATTATCTATGAATTCCATTGGGTAGTGAATAAATGATTTATTGTGGTCATATTCTCCTACCGTTCACTTGTCAAATATCTTACGCTTATGTCAGTAGTTCAATCGTATGCACAGCTATCACTCACCCATAAATCATATCACTGCATATTATCTCTCAATTCACATTCTATCCATTCATTTTAACTATGAAAAATTGTTTGATCAAATCAAGAAATTCTACTCTATAACAATGGGAAAAACCTTTCATTGGGCACTACTTGACGACACTCTTTGACACAGGATGTATCCATTTCTTTTAATAAAGATGGATACTGGCTAGCAGTGGAATCCAGGATGTGCGTCTTGTCCTATTTGGGACTCATCAGCTGGACGCACCTGCATCGCAGAGTTTATGTTCGCTCCGGGACTCGAACCGAGTACCATTCGCTCTATACGCCATCGCAATATCCACTTAGTTACTGAGTCCTGATAACCACCTGCTTATGCAATGGGGTGAAGTTTTAAATTCACTTGGTGTTGTTTTACTTGTGTTTTCCCAAAGCTTGTGATTCAAGGCTATATCAAAGCAATCTGCACAGGATGCACATATGTCAACATGAAACTGATCAATTGCTGTCCTAAATAAAAACAATGGCAAGATACAAGTAAAACAACATTAAGTGAATTTCTTTTAATATAATACAAAATTTTCATTATTTCTCCCCCCCCCTCTCTCCATTGTTATTTTTATACATAGATTCTTTTTGAAGCTCAACAATTAGCATCAAAAGCTCGTGCTGAATGGGCATTCACTGATCTTTCATCATTTACATTACTTTGTCGACAATGTGATGCACCATTAATTGGTCAAGAAGCTGCACAAAAACATGCTCAATTAACAGGTCATACACAATTTAGAGAAATTTTACATTAAAAATATCAATTTAATTGAAGTATATTCAATATAATTGTTACATATCTAGACTGTTGCTTTGTTCTTCTCCCCCCCTCCCCCTCTCTCTCCCCTTTTCTGATAGTATTACAAATTGAATGTAAAATAAATGATTTGTTTCGCTCAATGTATTCGCTTTAGTTTTCTCTCTGTTTTCTTTTTTTCTTTTTTCTTTTCCGTTTTTCTTTTGTTTTGTGCAAAAAAAATATTTTTTCATTGTACAAATTGTAGGAACTTATTACATTGTAGAAATGGTATGATTTCAATTGTTTATCCATTCAGTGTTTCTATGTATCTTTGTTAATTAATCTACTTGTAACTCTGACAAATACAATCATGGATGTGAATGTTCACATACACACGCATACATACATGTGTTTTTTTTCTCTTTAGAATTATTGGTTACATTGTGTACATCTGAATAATATTTGGCTGAGGATAGACATTAACACTATTAGATGCCGACTCAGTGGTTTAGAGGTTAAGCGTTCGAGACTGAAAGTCCCGGGTTTGAATCCCACGAGCGGGATTGTAGATGTGCACTGCTGAGGAGTCTCACAATGGGACGAAATGGCTATCTAGTGCTTCCAACTTTTCAATGGTGGTCAGAATACATAGTAAAGGATGTTGAAATCAGTTACAATGGTGCCAGTGTATTCTATATTTATCTTTCTCATGAGCTTGAAACGAATGGCTGACTAATCTCATCTTTTTTCTGGATAGTTGAATATATCTACATTGTAGCAAGTGTTCTTCAATAACTACCAGAGATGATACTGACAATATCTAACTTGTTGATCTAAAGTTCACCTCAAAGACTAAGAATCTAGGGTTCGACTTCTTGTGTGGTCGTGGATGCACACCTCAGAAGAGTCACATGAGGACAAAACAACCTTTCAGTGTTTCTTGATATCTGAGATTATACAAATAGCTCGTGTGCAGAGGTTAATCATTCTGATCTGAAATATCTAGTTGATCGCAACTAGGTAATCCTTCACTGCTTGTGTTGTTTCTTTGATTCTTTCAAGAAAAAGCGTTGTAGTATCGAAAAATCGACTCACGCATAATAAACACCTGTACAAATAACGAGGGTGATCTTGGAAAGTGAATCACATACCAGGAAAGTTAAATATTTTGTCTTTGTAAAATGAAAAAGCTGAGAAACAAATAGAATTTTGTTTTTAAAAAGTGTTGATGAGTTTTGAAACTTAGAAATGCTCTCGCCTATATTATGGTACTTGTTACCTACTGTTAACATTAAATGTCTTGGATTTCACTTGATTTCGGATATACGATACTTTAATTCTCGTCCTTTTTTAAATCAAGCCAACTTTATTTATTTAAAACACATAAATAAGGAGGCTCCAAATGGATATGCGCCACATAAATCATTCGATTTGTGTGAAGGCTAGGATACTGCACGGGTGCTCAAACCGAAGCATGTGGTTTTCTTAGGAGGCCACGCCCGGAGCCCTCGACCTCAAGGTGTGATCCACGAGGCAATGGAGCAACATCAGGAGATGCAGTCTCATGGTAGCCGGTGACCAATAATAGGTACATACTCCATTTGTTCCTTCAGGATCCTGGAGCCCATATACACCACTGGTTTGGAATGAGTGTTTTCTAACTCCCCTAGGTGGAGTCTACGTGTCGACCAACCCAGTCAAAGCTCCGGACATTTTCTTTTCGTCCTCTGAATTTCTTAAACAACACCCGTGGTGCGAGAAGGCAGTGAGTAGGACTTCCGTGGTAGTGGTTGTGTGCACTAGGCCATGTGGGAGCATTAGGAGACGGAAAGTTGACTCTTTCCACTCTCAACCATTTGGACACAAGTATCTATTTGATGCTGTCACGATGCCTATCGTCTAGTTTTGAAGAAAAAATAATCTAATTTTAAATACTCCACAAGTAGAAAACTAATTAAGAGTAAGACTCATTTTTATCATATGTTAATTGGATTCAAAAAGATATTCTAATAGTAACTTTCAGTTGAATTATAATGACCTACATTAATAAAATTGGTTTGAAAACCTCTATTGGAAATCCAATAACTCAAAGTGATTCCAGTGATCTTATTAATCAAGGTATTTAGTTTGGTTCAATCAATTATAAAATGTCACTAACTGTCTTAAGATATTATATAACCCAGAATGATAGTGGAATATTTACACTGACATCACATCCACCTGATAATTAAAAATATAAATAAACCTTATGCGTTGCTGAGGGTTTCACTATCCACCAATTCAAGCCTGAACTCTAAGTGCAAAATCAATATGACCAACCTCTCATCCATCTTTGGGTTTTAATTCTGTTTTGCAGAACTTTCTGGTCTTGTTTTGTTTGGTTAAGCCCTCGTGGAGGGGGGGCGGGACCGTGGATACGCACTGTTGGGGTGTCCTAATATTAGGACGAAACGGCCGTCCAGTGCTCCCAGCTTTTCTATGGTGGTCTAGCTTCAATTGACTCATAATTTCAGCTATTGAAATTACTAAAATCTCCACAAAGCCCCTTCTGACATACATTATAGGTTAATTCAGAACACAAACCTGAATTACGGTAATGCAGTAATAGACTTCATAATAATTCTTAATTTAAGTTTTGTCTACTTAAATTATTTATCAGTAGCTTACGTGAAAAATTCGTTTTTATAGAGGTTTCACTAAGTCTTACACTTCCACGATCATATTTATAAAACTGATGAATAACTGTCAATCTATGTTTCCTAATAGTAGTTGGACAAGTTTTTCTACACATGAGAAAAATTAGATTCAACAAAATTAATTTGAGATGTGTTATTTTTCGTTTTTAATAAAAGTACTTTTACACAAACTCCGCTTGTAGCTCTCTTAGAGTTATTACCGGTCACAAGCCCGGATAAGGGAGGAGGGTTGGGCATGGGGTCAGCAACCCGATCCCGTAGAACAAAATTTTGCTAAAAAGACGTCAACTATTACTTTTATACACCTATATATGTCCCATTGAACTCATGAACCGACCTAAGTTAGATCAAAATCCAAAACCTGGAAACATTGGATTTCCGTTTGGTTCTAGAGTGGGGATCCTCAGCAATGCATATCCAGGCTTTCAATGATGGTCTGAGTTAAATTGGTTCATTATTTCAATGAAATTCTATATTCTCCACAATTACATAATTAGAGTTATGTATATCGGTTAATTATAATGTTTTCCTTTTAACTCCATCGTATTCTATATTGATTAACTCTGATTTCGATTAGTATACGAGAAATATTTATAGAGATCCGATTGTTTCAATTATAAATTGTTGGGGATATCCAGAAAACTCCTCGAAAAAAGCCAAAAAAAGTCTCTGAAGACACTGAGAAGGATCTTATTTAGTCAGTATTCAATAGAAGCCTTGCAAGATACATCTAGAAAGTGAAAGGTTACATGTTGCTTTTCTGATTGGATGATTACTTGTACCGCTACTTTGTTTAATAGAGTTCCAGACATTTTGGAGAGTTCAAGAACATTTAAAATACTATAAAAACCCTGTATTTTCTGTACATAAACGAACCTTTGGAGTAAAGTGTTTCTTATATATTTTGCACCTTTCCTCTGGTGTTCAAGTCGTTGTGGAAATCTAGTCTGGGGGCTAATAGAAGAGCTTAGAAACCGAATGTAGCATTCAGTTAGCAAGACTTATCACAAATATACATATTAAATGATGTACTACCGTCAGTATTTTCTGGCTGGAAATCTACACCTTTGAAATAAAATTGCAGTGTAGTTGTTATCATAAGTTTTACAAATACAATCCATAGGTTATCTCGTTTATTAATTGGCTCTAGATGTACTACTTCATGTTCCGAATTGGACTGATGGATATTTATTGTTAACTCCGCCTTAAGTTCTTCTAGAGTTACTGCCGGTCCCAAGCCCGGATACAGGAGGAGGGTTATGCATGTGGTTAGCGACCTCACCCCGTAGAAAACTAACTCACTAAAAAAACGCTAACCAGAAAAAAGAATTCAAACCATTTTAACTCTGCCCTGTGAGTTAGAAGGTCTTCATTTAGAAGAATTATGACGCCTCATGGTGGAAGTCGAGTTCCTTCGGAAGCCACGAGGCCAATGCTTCTTCTAACAACCAGAGCAACAACTTTTATAGGTACATGGAACGTCCGGAAAATGTGGCAGACCGGGAAGACTAGTCAAATAGCAACGGAAATGAGGAGATACAACTTGGCAGTACTTGGAATCAGCGAAACCCATTGGACCAAAGCTGGACAGAAAAGGCTAAATACGGGAGAGATGCTGCTCCACACACCCAGGGAGTTGCTCTAATGCTGTCCAAAGTAGCACGAAATGCACTTGTAGGATGGTAATTTCACGGATCAAGAATCATCAAAGCATCATTCAAAACAAAGAAGGAGGGGATTTTAATGAATATTATCCAATGTTATGCACCCACCAATGATAGCAACGACGAAATTAAAGATCAGTTCTACGAGCGGCTGCAGTCAATCATTGAGAAATGCCCAAGAAAGGACCTAACTATTCTGATGGGAGGTCTAAATGCCAAAGTCGGAATAGACAACACTGGATACGAAGATATTATGGGACGACATGGACCGGGAGAAAGAAACGAAAATGGAGAAAGATTTGCAAATTTGTGTGCATTCAACAAATTGGTCATAGGGGGCACAATATTTCCACACAAGCGTATACACAAGGCTACATGGATCTCACCGGACCACACTACAGAGAACCAAATCGATCATATTTGCATCAACAAAAAATTCCGAAGGACAATGGAAGATGTGAGAACCAGGAGAGGTGCTGACGTAGCTTTAGATCACCACCTAGTTGTAGCCAATTTAAAACTGAAGCTGAAAAAGAACTGGACAAGTGGACAAACAGCACTACAAAGGTTCAATACAGCCTTCCTTCGAGATACTGACAAACTCAATGAATTCAAGATAGCTCTCAACGACAGGTTTCAAGCCTTTCAAGATCTACTGAATGAAGAAGAAACTACTATGGAGGACAACTGGAAAGGCATCAAAGAAACATTGACTTCAACGTGTCAAGAGGTTCTGGGCCTAAAGAAACACCATCATAAGGAATGGATCTCTATAGAAACACTGGACAAGATCAAAGAAAGGAAGAACAAGAAGGCAGCAATTAACAACAGCCGAACA